TTATGGCTGTCAGACAATTTCTGCCGCCACGTCACCCTTTACATCAAACCACCTAACTCCCCAGAGAGCACCCCGCTTGATTAATATGTGTGGGGGCGCAGTTTAGTGAGAGATCAACAAAATTCTTTGTAATACCAAAGGTGAATTGAAGGTAAGGATTATGGCAGCATTCACCAACTTAAACAAGGAGACCGACCAGAAGTGTTGCAGGAGATTCTGAAGTCGTCAGGACGCCGTGGTTGAATCTAATGGCGATTTTATTGAATAAATTTACTCTTTACTATTTCAATATATTTTTGTGCAATTTTGGTAAAAATATCTGTTAAAATTTGTCAGTGTTATTTTCATTTTTCGTAATTTAGACGACAACTTATCAATTGCAACATCTATCTATCTATCTATCTATCTATCTATCTATCTATCTATCTATCTTTCTATCTATCTATCTATCTATCACAGTATGTTCATAACTATTTATCTATTGAGGAAAAATTATGACAAAGTGGAAAAAAGACTATATAAAAAAAAACAACAAATATGCAAATTGTTAGGTTGTAACAATCCTTTGCCAATTTATTTTAATTTTATGTACTTTGTTTTTCATTTTCTGAATTAAAACATTGAGCCTATCCTAATATTGGGCGATTTGTTTTGTTTTTCAATCATGCCCGCGAAAAGTAAACACGGAATGAAATATTTTCCATGTTATGTTAACTGCATGTTTTCATTGGCAGAATAGAAAACATGTCAGCTTTATGCTTACCGGTTAAAAAGGTCAAGGCATTCTTTTAACATTCTTTGAAATTTGTTATGTTATAAACATAAACAATTATCCCAAATTAATAAGTTAAACATTATTTGTTTTTAAGAATTTGAAAACTAGTTGCACACGAAATGATGTTTGTTTACATTTGTCATTTGAAGTGATTGTCAAAATCCATTTGCCGACATTAACAACGATAACAGGTATGAAAGTACTCGAGAAAAGAGCTTCGTATTTGACAAAATAATTCACTTGAAGAGACTTTCCAATCGAACTGAAAATCGAATTTTTAATTCAAGGAAATAATCGTTTGCCAACAGCATACATGTGACTGATGAAATCTATATATTATATATATATATATATATATATATATATATATATATATATATATAATATTTATTTAAAATTATAGAGTATGAACCTTATAACATCACTAAAATAACCAACAAATGACTATTATTTAATGATGTTATAACATGCATATGTTATAATTTTGAATAAATATTATTTGCTCTACTCAGTATTGAGTACTCTTTTAAGGATATATATATATATATATATATATATATATATATATATATATATAACAGTGAACATTGAAATCAAAACTCAGATTATGAAACAGCCTGTCGCTGTTTGAATAATAAAAATAGAGTTGAAATCGCTAGGTAACTTATAAGTTACCATATACATGAAAATAATCAGTATAAAAATAAATAGACATAATATGTCTATATTATTCACTGAAACATGTCTGAATGTCGATTGCTGCCTATACATACATATATATATATATATATATATATATATATATATATATATATATATATATATATATATATATATATTCCATGGTTATAATTTATTGCATTGGAATCGTAATCACGATCCAATTCATCAGACCTACAAATTTACAAATTCAAAAGAAATCGGAAAATATAACTCGGATATAAAACCAAAATTATATATATATATATATATATATATATATATATATATATATATATATATATATATATATATATATATATATATATATATATATATATATATATATATATATATATATATATATATATATATATATATATATATATATATATATATGTGTGTGTGTGTGTGTGTAAATGAGAGAAAGAACAGATATAGTAAAACTCCACTGTTCGTAGCATTTACTTTTAAAAAAATGCTCAATACAAAGTAGAGCAACATATTATTATTCTTATTTTTATTATATGAGATTATAATAAAACCATATTGAAATCGCTACACAAAACATTTCGTGTTTCAATACTTTGTACTTCTTCAGGCGATCGTAAGTATTTTTTATTATAAGCTATAATACTACTACTACTACTAATAATAATATATATATATTATATATATATATATATGTGTGTGTGTGTGTGTGTTTGTGTGTTTGTGTGTGTGTATTGAGAAAATAGTATGAGAAATTGTAAAAAAGTTTTTGTGACGCGTTTGATCCGTTAGGACCTCATCGGATTGAGCTTTGTTGATTTTGCCGTAACACATATGCCCGAAATGAGAGATGCGGACAATTTCAAAATTTTTGTGAGAATATTTTTGAAAAAATATTTTTTGAAAGAATATCTTTTTTGAAAAAATATTTTTTGAAAGAATATTTTTTTCAATGTAGTCAAATTCATCTATACTATTTCTTGATATACAAAATTATATATCGTTATGACACACACACACACACACACACACTTTTAAACATTAAAATTATTGTCAATCGGCCTAGGGATTAAGAAATACCAGGAAAAACATATGCCACCCAGTCTGAATCAAATCTGTATTCTCCTTTTTTCATGAGGGAAACCACTCTTTCCCGTAGCCTAACTTGAACCTTGTTTCACCAAGACGGTTTCCTGTGGCCTAATTTGTTGTCTACACTCAGCTGAAGAGTTATTTCCTGATTGAGAAAAAAGGACTACATGTTCGATTCTTCTCGTGATATACACTTTCCTTAGTAGGATTTCTTGATCGCTAGGTTGGTTGATATTAATTTCTCTATTTAAAAGAAAAGGTATGTCAAATCAGACACTTGTAACCATTAAATAAGAATGTAGTACAGTAGAATCCCTGACAATCGGACTAAAGAGGCCTTCCAGATATGAGGAATTGGTTACAATGAGGGGTTATATTTAGATTAAAATAAAAGAATTGAAATCAGGTTTAATATTTATTTTCAATGTTTTATAGTAAACAAAATAAGCTAATGGTGTGTGAAATATAACGGAACTGATTTTAAGGAAAAAGAAATAAATTATGTAATATTAATGAAAATACATTAAATTAAATATGCCACGTATGCAAAACAAATAATTTAACGAGGATTTTTTAATCGCTGTTGCATGGTGATTCTTTCTCTTCTAATGTCATTCTCAACTTTTTCCGCATTTCGTTTTACTTTTGCTCTTGAAATTTTTTCAACGAAAGCCACTTTTTAACTCTGCTTGCGTTATTGCAATCATCATCGCTGAATGCTGACTTTTTTTCCATAAAACTGACCACCTTTACAATAGCTTTTTCAATTTCAGTCCAGGTCTCATCACAATCATGCATCTCGTCGCTATCTTGTTGCAGATGTGTCTTCTTGTCATCCTTTCCTCGTATTCCCATCATCTTTTGCACCAATATAAGCCATTAGGGTGAAATAATCATAAGCAATTGTCCAAAATAAATTTCCTGAAAAACAGAAATTTCAAATCAGTTACATATCATCCAAATGGCTCAAATATACACACCAAAATCATGTCCGGATATCTGAGATTCCGGACATGGCAGATTCCGGACAAGAGAGATTCCGGGTATGGGAGATTCTACTTGTAATAAGAAATATATATAAGTAGTTACATCATTATAATCCGACATTATTTCTTATTACAAAAAATATTCAATTTCGTTGCCCAATATAAATGTTTGCGTAGACATCTAATTTTTTTTAATAATAATGAAAGTGTTAACTGATCCTTACTCTGCAGCGAAGTCACTCGTGGCTAAACTGTTAAAGCACACCTCACATAAAAGTGGTTTTCCTAAAATATAAATAAACAGAGACACATTTTCTTTAGTATGACTTTCAGTTACCCAGGCCGGTAGATATCAATTTTACTGTTTAAAAATAGAAAATAAAATCAAACAAAAACAAAACAAAAAGGAAACGAAAACTGAAACCTAAAACAAAGAAAGATGGGATCTTGTCAAATTTAGCAAACCCATTCACGGCAGGGTTTACTATTCATTCAAGAAGATAGTTAGGTTGGTTATTCTTTACATGAGAATCATCAGGTTCGCTGTTCTTGATATGAACATTTTGGTACCAGTAACTTTAAGGTTCAATAGCTATTTTCATGTTCTGGTTTTAATTTATTCATTCAGATATCCAGGAACCCTGAAGATGGATAGATCTATATTCACGAAGTTTGTGAAATCATTACTTTTTGAGGATAGCTTACCAATGATAGACTGAATGAAAAACAAATCTCTTATTCGACGAGAATTAAATATATGAATCATACAATGAATGAATTGGACAGTGTACAGTGCTTCTCGGGACAGTTATGTGTGGAAGTGACAGACAAAAGACACGCCAGACAATAGTGGATCTTTACAACTTTCTCAAAGTGTGCAGAAGACATTTTGAGCTTAATCCTATAAAATTTGCTGTACCTGGGATAAGATTTCAAATATACTAATCGTGCTTTTATGTTTGTCTAAAGGTTCTTGATAAGATCCAGAGACGGATATGCAACGTAATTGGACCTGATCTGGTATCTCGTCTGCAGTCACTCTCTCACAGACGTGCCGTCGACTCCCTCTGTCATTTTTGACAAATACTTTCATGTTAACTGCTCCGATGAGCTGCTTTCGCTGGTTCCTAGACTTCATGAATTTAAGCGCTCCACTAGGCTGGCATCTCGCTCTCAGCCTTTCATTGTCGAAACTGTTAAATGTAGCCGTCTCTTTTACTTTAGTAGCTTCATGTCTCGCACCTCTCGACTGTGGAACTCCCTCCCCTTTTCTTGTTTCCCTGATAACTAGAATCTCCAACTATTCAAATATAATGTCAATTCACGTCTCCAGATGCCCTGATCTATCCCCTATCCTTCTCTTCATCCTTTCCTCTATCACTCCTATTTGATCTCACTCCAATTCTCAGTAACCCCTTGCGTGGGAGTGGCTTCCCGCATTGCTTGGGGTGAAACGCTTAAAGAAAGAAAGAAAGAAAGAAAGAAAGAAAGAAAGAAAGAAAGAAAGAAAGAAACAAAAACGAAAACGCCACCGAGGCAGGGCTCGTAAGAGTCAAGTCTGGGTTTTGGTCTTGGTAGATACTTAGCAATTGGGTCTTTGGAAAAAGTTGAGTACAGAGACCAAAAGACATTCCTGCCAATAATCGAAAAATTAGAGAGACATGGATCAAGTATTCACTGCGATGAATGGCGGGCTTACAGAGATATAGGAAATAATCCAGATTACCAGCGCAGAACCGTCAACCGCTCGAGATTTATTGCTCGAAAATATAGCAATTGTGACAGAACCGTCAACCACACTTTGCATTTCGTTGATACATAAACATGCATTCACGCACAACATATAGTATCATCGTGGATAAAGCATAGATCTAACATCAAGAAGATGCAAACGCAATTTTCTATCAAAATATTTAAATCAATTCATGTGGATGGATTGAAAAACAGTTAACAAGTTATTAGGGCTTGCTAATGCAAACACCATAAATTATACTTTCAATAACTAAATTGTTTCATGGAAAATGAATAATGTTATTTTAATTGTTCATTTATGTTATTTTAAGTGTTCATTTATAGATAAACAAGTTCATATATATTGACAACATTGCTTTTAAAAACAGAACATAATTGTCAGGGGTTTGCTATTCTTGATATGGAGATAACTGGGTTCGCTGTTCTTGACCTGAAGAAAATTGGGTTCGCTGTTCTTGACATGTAGGTAATTCGGTTCGCTCTTCTTGACATGGAGATAATTGGGTTCGCTGTTCTTGATATGTAGGTAATTCGGCTCACTGTTCTTGACATGGAGATAATTAAGTTCGCCGTTCTTAACATGGAGATAATTCGGTTCGCTCTTCTTGACATGGAGATAATTGGGTTCGCGGTTTTGAAATGAAGATAATTGGGTTCACTGTTCTTAACATGGACATAATTGGTTTCGCTGTTCTTGACATGAAGATAATTGGGATCGCTGGCCTTGACATGGAGATAATTGAGTTCGCTGTTCTTGAAATGAAGATAATTGGGTTGGCTGTTCTTAACATGTAGGTTATTTGGTTCGCTGTTCTTGACATGGAGATAATTGGGTTCGCTCTTGTTGACATGGAGATAATTGGGATCGCTCTTATTGACATGGAGATAATTGGGATCGTTGTTCTTGACATGGGCATAATTGGGTTCGCTGTTCTTAAAATGTAGGTAATTCGGTTCGCTTACTTTGAGATGGAGAATATTTGGTCGCTGTTCTTGACATGGAGATAATTGGGTCCGCTGTCCTTGACAAGGAGATAATTGGGTTCACTGTTCTTGACAAGGAGATAAGTGGGTTCTCTGTTCTTAACATGGAGATAATTGGGTTAGCTGGTCTTGACATGGAGATAATTGGTTTCGCTTTTCTCAACATGGATATAATTGGGTTCGCTGGTCTTGAAATGAAGATAATTGTGTTCACTATTCTTGACATGTAGGTAATTCGGTTCGCTGTTCTTAACATGGAGATAATTGGAAATGTTGGGCTCGCTGATCTTGATAAGAAACGAAAGATGTTTGTTTAATTCCTCGTACTAAATAAGTATAATGTTTATATTTATGCAAAATAAGGTCATTTTTAAAAAATCTGTACCTTCTTAAAAATTGCATTGTTTCCGAAAATAAAGTTAACAAATTTTTCGACAGGTTTCAATGACAGATATGCATTTCTTTTTTCCTTTCAATGGTGTTAATTAATTCTACTTTCCTGTAAGGTCTCTTGTGACTGAACAGTTAAAGCACGTCTAACTTAAAGGTTATTTTTCCCGGATATAAATAACGTAGGATTGGGGCCTAACGACTTGCACATTTCCTTTTAATAATTGTAGAGCGGTCAGGGTTAAATGTAAAGTAAATAGTAGAACTGCCCAAAAAACAGAATTGACAAAGTTTGCAATAAACAATAACAAGAAAAAAGAAAGGAATATTGCAAAAAAATAACATAAATCAAGGAAACAATAAATGCAAGGCAAATTAAAAGTAATAAGGCAAAGCAATAATAATGCAGCAAAAATTTCACAAACTAAAAATTGGGGTTGAAAATCAGTTATGCGCCATGCGGGAAACACGTTTACGCGATCATGTATCTTTCGATACATGACTGACGAGGCAGATTTTTTCCCGCAGTAGGTTGCCATTTCTTTCTTCGGTAGACCAGTTGCCATCTAAGTTTATAGAACCCATAGCTTGAGAAGAGGATTCAAACTTTTCTCAAGGATATTGCACGTGGGGTTAGGGTCTGTAATGGATTCGATTGGAATTCGAACACGGCTTCCTCAATCCGACCGAGCGGCTATCAAATACTCCACCATGCCTCCTCCTGATGTGTGTGTGGGGGGGCTGACACTGAAGAACAAATTCTGGTAAACGAACTTATCGTTTTGACTAAAAGACACGGATAGCGTTCTCACTGCAAGACAAGACAGACCGGGACTCAGTCATATGAAAGCGACAACTGAACTATTGGCTAGGAATAAAAATCCCAGCATGCATTTATGTGTTTCTGCGTATAAATTGGGGAGGGGAAAGTATTTTGCAATCATTCTCAACAAGATTGAAACCAACAATAAATCTTTTAATTGCCCAGGTTGGTTGATGTGAATTTGACTTTTTAAGAAAATAAAAACGGGTATATCTATTTAACCACATGTAAATATAAATGAAATTCCAGATTAAGATAAAATAACAAATCGAATATTAGGATTTAAGAGCGATTTAAGTCTAAAGATAAGATATTAAAATTTCGTCGTTACTGATTCTTCAGCCAGGCCTAGAATAATTGTCCAAATACGTCAATTACATTTGAAGGATGACAGAAATTGCATACTGGGTTTATTTTAATCAATTCAATTCAAATATGTTTCTCTCAAATAGGTTCGAATTTTAATTGTGTGTGTAGTTGTTATGGGACCTTACCCATAATAACATAATGGACTATTTCATACGTAATAAATACTGCGCCTCTAGAGGAAGCAGGGAGGTCAGCCTGAAGTCGGGCGACCGGCTGACCGGCTGATCGGTTGAACTCTCTGCCTTCAGGCGGGGAGGAACCCGAACGAGGCTAAGCCGAAAGGCGGAGTCTCTTTCGGGGAGGTAAACCGACCCTGAAACCGTTTATACGGGTTCAAAGGGCATATTTTTGGCCGAGCCCACGGGCTCGGAGATCTCAGGTTAAACCGGCCTTGTGCCACATGATGCCCTCGGGGGGGGGGGTGCATGACTAAATATTGTTCAGTCTGTAGTCTGGAGTGAGGTCCGTCAGAAGTCTGTCAGTCAGTCAGAGCGAGCGAGTCAGTCAGTCGAGTGAGAGGCAGTCCGAAACAAAGTCGCGTTCAGACAATTACTACTAAACCTGATTGTTCGTACTAACACTTTCTACTTCTCTGTATATATTCCTGTTTGTAATATATCTGTGTTATACCATATCCGTGTTCTTCTGTATTGGTTCTACCTTGGACTATCAACATAGTACAAGGAACCGGATCATAACAGTAGTGTAGTTAAGTCAAGTTTTAAAACGGTCAGTGCGAATTTAGAGAAGGTGAGTGAAATTACCAAAATATTACATGAAATGATTCAACTTGAAATCTGTAAGAATCTCAGAATATCGAGGTCTGCAGTCGAAGTCAAATAGAAGAAGCACGCTGACGTTTTCAACCTTTTGGATATGAAAAGGATTGGTAGTTCTTTGAAAATTGACAAAAAAGATCAAAGAAAGCTCGCGAGCTGATCAATATTCAATCCAAACTTAACAGGTTTTCATGTAAGGGAATAAAGCAGCATTACGATTGAAGTGTCAATTCACATAGGATACGAATGAAAAGTCATCTAAATGGATGAATTACAGCAAAAAATGAAACTAGGATTAAGCAAAAGTCATCGAATAAGACGAAAACATGAGTTAAAAAAAAACAAAGTTTCTGCTAAGAGATAATGAAAAATGGACACAAGTGATAAATAGTGACGAAAGTCAAATAGAACTGATTTCTAATGCAAGAGTGTCTGTCTGAAGACCAAATTGGAATTAAAGAAAATCCCAAACCTGCAAGAAGAACTGTAAAATTTACTGGTGAGTGTTTAATGCTTTATGCTGTTTCACAATAATGTCTGACAATTCACAGATGACAAGAAACGGAAGCTGTGAAGACTAATATGCTGACATGGGATAAAAAAAATATAATGACACGATTATTTGCGTACGGATCGGTATTTCTGTCGATCAGTTTATTATCAATGTTCTTTATCCATTATCAATGATACAGTGGGACATTTTTGTTTCGGACCAGAATCTGTACACTCGGAGAAAGGTTTTATAGATAGATAGATAGATAGATAGATAGATAAGAATATATATATATATATATATAGATAGATAAACCTAGTGAGCCAGACAAACCTACTCAGGTTTCACCTAAGTGGATCATCAGGGAAAGCCAGCTTTCCTTGACGATCCGCTTAGGTGAAACCTGGGTAGGTTTGTCTGGCTCACTAGGTGTATCTAGGTCTGCTCTACGGTTGTATTGAGCTCTTTTGTTAGTTGTTTACTCGTGTCGGGGTTTTTTCTTTGGGCTTTGAACCTGTATCTGTGCGATTTTTTTCGAGAGACTTTCATGTTTCTAGCTCTTTCTTTTTTTAAAACCTTTTTTCCCTCGAGATTGATTTGATTATTGGCAAATCAAAAATTCGAAGGTTTTTCGAGACGAGTATAGTTACCTATATTTGTATTTATATATATATATATATATATATATAGATAGATAGATAGATAAGAACAAAAATAGATAGGTAGGTTGGTAGGTAGGTAGGTAGATAGATAGATAGATAAATTAACGGTGAAACTGATAGATAGATAGATAGATAGATAGATAGATAGATAGATAGATAGATAGCGTTGTAGCATCTCTACGGACGATAGTGGGTATGTCCCCAT